AGCCATATATAAGTATCCATCTGTAGATTGCCTCCAAATATTTTCTTTTTATTGATAAATGTTTGATTTATTGGATAATGTACACTGTTGGCTTTCTATTTGATCGTTGTTATGCTTTCTTGAATTTCGTCATGATCTATTTCAACTGATAAAAATGGTCTTAATCGACTCTACCTGACCATATCCTTTGCATTTTAATTTATATGTAATCTTCATTCTTGTTTAAATACTACCATTAGCTATGCAATATTTTTGTTGATTGTCATCCCATTTGCTGCTAACAAATTGTTCTAAATGTTAATGTTATCTTCTAGAGTGTGTTCTCTACTTCGTCGCCAAACACACATTCATAAATATATCAACTGTTTCAAAATTAAGGGACCCAACTATCATGATGTTGCACTCTGCTTAACTTTCTTAACTATTTCATCCATAAATATTATTAACAACAAGGAACTTAGCTGCTTATCTCACTCCTGGTTTGATGGTGAAAAGTTCTGATTTTATTTTATTGTTTGTGATACAGTTTTTCTGTCTTTTGATAAAGGCTTTGTATATTTCTTGGAAATTAATGATTATTTTATATATTTATAAACATTCTCAGAATAAAGCTTTAAATATAGCATCAAAAGCATAAATTAAAAAATAGTTCTTATGCTCTGACGTATTTAAACTGCTTATGTAAGTTTATTCTCTCTGTACTGTCAAACACAATGTAGTGTTATACGTTAATTATTATGTTTATATTAGAGATAGGCATAATGTACCATATCACTCTGTGAACTACATCGTGTAATAATAATTCTATTAAATAGCCACTCGTGTCTTATTATCAACAACACATACACAAACACACATTAGGCTACACATACGATGCATCATATTGTATTAGCATTCACATGACGCTTCCGTTTTCGTGTTCATATCACGGAAGGGCAAGAACACATACCATTATAGATGACCAGTCCTGTTTGACATCCATTTTGGATGAAACCGCTCAATTCCATAAACCGTATATTACGCTTATTTACATTTAGGGAATGCGGTGTGTTTATATAAAAGGGGAATAGTCTAGGAGCCAGCTAAGGACCACCGTCGCCTTTTCAATTCTGATAGATCCACCTAAGTTTTATTTGTATATCTTTGGCTGCTGATTACGAATTTAGAGGGTAAATTTGGATCCTATTATAAATTTTTTTATATATAATTTACTTATTTATAAGGCTCTAACTCGTAAACTAAGAGCATAAAAAATTGTTTAACCAAATTTGTCCCTTGAAAAAAAAAAACAAGAAAATTGCGTTTACTAAACTTGAATCGAATAATAAAAATTCGAGATATTATAAAATTAATGCAGTATGGTTGCAAGTTGTAAGTATTTTTCAAAGATTTTTCGATCGTAACTCGGCTTTTACGCATGCAATTAAGCTTTACAAAGTCTCATTTTAAAGCTTAATTAATAAAGTTTTAAACAAAAATTTGTTAAATTACTTTATCTTATACCCGTTATACCCGTTTGAATTTGTAATTTTGTTAATAGAATAGATCACTATTACAAAAGTTAATTAAAAAATATCCGTAAGGGGCGCTTACGTCGAGGTTTGGTATTAAATCATAATCTCATATTTCTCATATCTCATTATTTCTTAGATTCACACATACATTTCAATACATTTTTCCGGATTTTTAGCCATAGTTTTTTATTTATTTGTCTCAAATTTAACCAATGAAATAAAGCAAATTAAATCTTGTTTAAATCTTATTTTCTAAGTTTGAAAAAAATTATAGTTAACACATAGTAATAAGTCACAAATTTTATAATATGTAAAACTAATAAAAAAATAAATGCTATGCCCACTAGGAATTCAACTGATCAATATAGGCAAATCTGTAGATAAGAAAAAGATTTGTTAAATTTAATGAAGGTACTGCATATTTTTTAAGGATTCTCCATTGTCTTAAAAAAACAAGACAATGATAATGTATAATTAAAATAAGAATTTTTTAACTTGCCCAAACTTGTAACGGTATAACTTTCTTCTGAAAAGTGCCTGGAACAAATTTTTGTGAGCTTGCTGATACTTTTTTCAAACCTGATAGCGATCACACATCGTTTTTGTAAAGCTTTATTCAAGGGGAATTTATGAAACTTAACATTGTCAGTTTTATTGGAATCTGAATTGCATTGTGGCAAACAACAGTTGTAAGGCATACTGTAAAGTTGTGGTAAAGTGTCCAAATATTTAAAATGTCCTAAATAACTTATTAAAACTTAAATCACTCACAAAATTGCAAAACAACTAGCAAACGAGCACCAAACAATGTTAATAAATGGCCATGTCCTGGAAACTTATATGAATGACCTTGGTTCATTCCCCCATCACTTTAACCCATCGAGCAAAAAGACAATAGAGGGAATGTAAAGGTAGTGGGGGGCAAACATATTGTTAGACAGGAAGTGCGATCTTTAGAGGCCACATTAAACAAGGAAAGAGAGTCTCTCTCCTTGTTTGACATCAAATTTAGTTGGGTTATGTTATTGTTTGTCCCAAATGTCACATGAAATCTTATTTATATTGAAGTTTTTTAACAATTGTGTCGCATTTTAGACTCTTATCATTAATAATTAATTAAAACTTTCTCGTCTAAGACACATTCTGAAAAATATTATATAGCTACTGTTGATAAGTGTCGGAAAATGTCAATTTCGCGCATTCGCATTTCCGGATATGTCCGCCATCAGAGGCCACTTTTTTGGTCTCCTTTTTATAAGGATTAGATTCCCTCTTTTGTCTTATTGCTCGATGCTTTAACCCCAGCGGGTTAATAAAGAGAAATGACAGTCTATCTCTCTCACGAAGACTTTAACCAATCATTTATTTTAACATAGTCTGGTGTGTCAATAAAATAATCAAACGAAGCTTAATTTAGAAATGTCAATTCTGCCAAAAGTAATCACAGATCTCCCGTTTATTGACAAGTTTTCAATTTTATTTTATTATCTTTAACTTTCGTTTGCATTTATTCTTAGTAATTTTAATTTAAGTTGGTTACTTAGATTTTAAAGTTTAGTTTAAGTTACCTATTGTAGCAAAGAATTTTTGTGTTGTGCTAGTAAAAAAACTAAACATGGTTAAGTATTGTATTGTTCCGTTGTGTACAAATCATGGAAAAATTACAAAAAGAATGATGATAGTAAGTTGTCAGGAAGCAAACAATAATAGTATATAACATTTGTTTCTGAAAATATGTGTAACAAGTATTATGTAATTAGTTTATAACTGTTTTATCTTAAACAACAAATAAATATACGTTATGTCTAGAAAAAATTGTGCATCTTTTATATATCCTTATTTTTCACTAAATTTTAATTAGTAACAAAATAGCTTGCAAGAGGCGCTAAAGGGTATGTATGTAAGGGGTGTCCATTCGAATTTTCCGCCAAAAGATAATTAGTATTGACCCAGACCGCAAGGGGACCTAAGAACGAAATTAATACATTGAGTTGCCTGTCTATTTCTACTATTATATTATTCTTAGACAAGGAAAGAGAGAGGACACGTAACCGTATCGCTAAAAGTGAAGTCTAACTGAGACCAGAGGAATCACAGGAACTTATATTTAAAGGATTGACTAATTCGTATTTAAAATGAAACATTTTTGTACATTAAATGTTTTATTTAATTTATTTTATTTTATACAAATATTTTGGAATCAAAATTAACGAAATTTATTTATTTATTTACTTGTTTATAGAATTTTATGGAACATTTTATGGAATTTTAACCCTCAACGCACATCGCCACTGGCAAATGATCATGGTGTGTGAGTGAAATGCATATTTAGCATTCTTATTTACTAATTTAGATCTCACCTTCCTTAAAATACCAATTTAAATTGGTTTTGAGGTTTAAAATTGAAATAAGAAGTAAAATCAAATAACACCTAATTGCACTATTATAAATATTTAGCTATGAAACGACATTTCTGGTGTTTTATGCTCGTTGCGATTTTTACAAAGAATATGTGCACCATTCACCATTTTGTTAAGTAAAAGAAAATAGGTCTTTAATTGACTTTTTTTTTAAACCACAAAAACAAAACTGGTGCCAGATCTATTGTTTGCCACCAAAAAAAATGGCGGACACATCGAAAAGTGGCTTCACTTTTTGAAGGTTGATTGAACGAACGTTACCCGTCCTCTCTCTTTCCTTGTCTAAGATATTATTTATCTATGTAAATGGCGAAATAAAATAAGGCTATCACTCGGTTTTTTCTTATTAAAACGATACCGAATGTGCATTGAAGAAAATGGGGGTAATTTTGAACATAGATTGTAATATCATATTTATAGAGGTTATAGACATTTTTTGTACTTGTTAAATCATTTAAGCCATATATTTATTTGTACGTAATTTTTAAAAGTTAATAAAAAGGGTTGTAACTCAATAAAAACTGTTCTCTGAAAAAAGTGATAAGAGGCAAAAAAGTTTTAAAAATAATGTTTTAAACATGACGCCAAAAAAAAAACCTTTGGTTTGAACTTACTCAAAAGTTTGGGGGGATTTAGGTCTGCACCCCCTTAAAATTTTTCTGTGTACATAGATTTAGTTGTTTCTTTTTTATGAAAAATTCTTTCAGAATACGAAAGTCACGTATCCATTTTTATTACAAAATGTCAAGTAGTTTAGGAGATAATGCAAAAAACAATTTTTATTTTGTAACTTTAAAGGGGTTGTAACTTTCTTTGTGTACCCTTTTGTACCAAGGTATTTTAAGTGGGATTCAATCAATTTATTTTTGTTCCCGGAATGCGTGATTTAATTTATGGCATACCTCTCTGAAACACCCTGTATTAATTCGATGTTATTTTGGTGCATTCGTTTTGGTGCAAGCGTTTTGCGATATTCATATAGAGAGAAAATATTAAACCAAACTTGTACTTAATTTTAAATTTTTTATATACACATTCGACTAAATGAATTTATTTATTTTTTTAGAGACCATTGATCAAGATCTAAGGGCTTCAAGAAATGTAGTCGAACATGTTCAGAGTCTATCGACCTCATCCGATATTCTTACGAACAACTTGGAAACATCTACCTTTGGACCAACTTTGTCAACGAAAAAACAAAATATTAGCACTAACTATAATCGTACTCTCAAGATTAAGAAGAAATTGGAGGAAGAACTGCCTTGGCCCAATTTTGACGAAAGTGACAATAATGTAAAATTTGTAAATAGTTCGTATACGAAATTAAATGAAACCCAAAGTCAAAATTTAATGGAGAAAGCAAAAAACAAAACTAGCAAGTCTGCATATCCCAAGAATTTTACATATCACCGAGTAACAGGTAAGACAAAACATTTCAGCTAGTACCCTACTCTTAGTACTACCGAAAAGCACCTTATTACTGAGTACTCCAGTATAATTAGTCAACAAATAGATAGCTATTATTTTAGATATATATATATATATATATATATATATATATATATATATATATATATATGCCGGTTTGGAATGTTCTTCTCCGTTGTCCGATACCTAACTTCCATCCTCTTCTATCGTGGCAATCTTCCGTTGATAGATTCCGTTCGCTCATTGACTTTTTTATGTTTTGCTGCCACTCTAGTTTGGGTCTTCCTCGCTTTCTATTCCCTATTGGGGTCCAGTTCAGTATTTTTTTGGGCCATCTAGTATTTTGCATTCGCTCTACGTGTCCGCACCAGGTAAGTTGTTCCTTTTCGATATTCTGAATTATCGTACCTTCTATTCCCATTCGTTGTTTTATATGGTCATTCCTTATTCTTTCTCTTCGTGAGACTCGCATAGATCTTCTTATCGCGTCCATTTCGACTGCCTCTACCTTCTTTTTTGTCTGTCTGGAATTCTCCATGTTTCCGCTCCATACAATAGGCTGCTCTTAACCATTGTCTCGTATGTATTAAATTTTCTCCTTTTTGTTATCTCCTTGCTCCACAAGATGCCATTCAGACATTCGATTATCTTTTTATCTGTAACTATTTGTTTTTCTATCTCTTTCACATCTGTTCCGGTATTGTCGAATGTGATACCTAAATATTCAGATTCTTGACATTGCAGAATTTCTTGACCGTTGTCCAACTCCAAATTTTTGCTCTGATAGAGTCTTCACATAGATATTTCGTTTTATTTACGTTAACTGTCATGCCCCATTCCTCATACTCTTCTATCAGCTTTCTAATCATATATTGCATGTCGTCTTTGTCATTGGCCACTATGACCTGATCATCTGCAAACTGAAGAGTAAACAGGTATCTGTCATCTATCTTTATACCCATTCCATGTATTTTCCTTTTCCAGTTCTTAAGTGCCGCTGCTACATATATTTTGAATAGTGTAGGAGAGATAGGACATCCCTGACGTAGTCCCTTATTCACTATGAAGGCATCTGTGAGTTTTTTACCTATCCTAATTATTGATTGTGAATTTTCATACAGTTCTTTAAGTGCAGCTATATAGTTGTGATTGATGTTAGTTTGTTTTAATACCTTCCACAGTCTCGATACTGGGACTGTATCATATGCTTTTTGTAGGTCCAAATGTAAGATGGGTTTCCAGATGTCTAGCAGATCTCTTCTCTATGACTTGTTTTAGACAAAATACGTTGTCGGTACACGATCTACCTGCTCTAAAGCCGCTTTGATCTTCTTCTTCTTTCTTTTCATAGTCTTCTTTAATTAGATCTCGCAGTATTCTACTGTATAGTCTACTCAGTGTACTTGTGATTGATATGCCTCGATAGTTGTTACAGTCCAGTTTATTTCCTTTTTTATGGATGGATGATATATAAGCTGTTTCCAGTCTTCTGGAACAGGATGTCCATTTAGGCATTTATTGATAATTATTGTTAGATTTCGAAAGAGTTTTTCAGTTCCCCATCTTAACATTTCGGAGAAAATCCCTTCTGGTAAGCTAGCTTTCCCTAACTTAAGGTTTAAAACTGTCTTTTTTACTGTTTCTTCGGATTTCTCTACTTCTTCTCCATTTACTACAAAATGTTTTGGAGATTCTATCATGTATTTCTGTCTAGTTTCTTGTAGTAGACCTTTGTACTGTTGTATCCACAGCTCCGGTTTGATTATCTGGATATTTGCTCTGTCCTTTGTTGGGTTTTTGACATTTGATATAAATTTCCATACCTCCGAGCACTTCCTTCCACCGATATAATTGTTAACTAACTTCTTCACATTTCTTTTCCCACGTCTCGTTCTTAGCTAAATTAATGCCCGCTCTTAATTGTCTTTTTGTTTGTTTATAATCTTCCAGATCTTGTTCATTTTTTGTTGCCAACCATTTTAAATATTTTTGTTTCTTTTCCTGAACTAATAACTCTATCTCCTTGTTCCACCAGTATTTTTTGTTGATCTTCTTTGCCTTTATTCCTACTGCTTCTCTGGTGGCATTTCTTAGACTTTCGATAACGTTCTCATAGATTTCATAAAAGGTGCATTCTTCCGCATTTGATAGTTTGCTGTCAAGGCGCCTTTGATAAAGAAATACCGTGCTTTTATCGTTAAAACTTTGAAAATTATACTTTGTTGTACACATTTCATCGGTGAGTACGGAATCGTTGTTATGTTTATCTTTGGCCTGATTTGTTCTTCTAAATTTTATTCTTACTTTGGCTCTTCCTAAAAAATGATCTGATCCACAAATGAGTCCTCTCAACACTCTTATATCGTTCATCTCTATATTTGTTTCGTGTTTACTTGTCACATAATCAATGATGGATTTTAGGTTGCGGGTATTCTGTGTTCATGTGTAGCGGTGAATATCTTTTTGTTTAAATAATCCATTGTTTATTCTGAGATTGTGGGTTTCGCACATACGTATCAGCCTTTGGCCATTATCGTTGGTTACTTCTTCCCCAAATAGGCCTACAACTGGGCTATTGTTCATCTTTCCCGTTCTTCCATTGAAGTCCCCCATCATTATAATTTCTCCATTTTTTCCAATATTTCCTAGCATTTCGTCAAGTTTGTCAAAGAACTCCTGTTTAATGTCTATTCTTTCGTCGTCTGATGGAGCATATGCCTTGATAATGGCGATGTTATGGTCGTGTAGTTTTAAGTTTACCATTAAGATATTTTCAACTACAGCTTCTCAATTTGTAATTTTGCTTTTCCAGTTTTTCTTTATTAATATGGATACCCCTCTAGCTGCTCTTCTTTCCTTTGGAACTCCAGTAAAAATTTGAATATATTCTCCGATAACTCCAGTACCATGTTTTTTTTTCTTGGTCTCTGTTAGCGCTACTACATCGATGTTTAGTTTCTGGTTTTCTGATGCAATAATATCCGTTTGCAGTCTAATACCCTGTACATTCCACGTAGCGGAACTCATATTCCATTTTCTTCGCCGTGTCCGTCGTCAATTTGATCAGTCAAATGTTCCGAGGCTTCTGTTAGGTTGTTTGGTAAGTTTAGATTTTTCGGAGTATTAAAGAACCAGTCTAATGCCTCAACCCCCATCCTGGAGGGCCAGGACAGTTTTTGTTTCACGGTAAGTATTTTATTTCCTCACTACCCTCTGAATCTACTGGCTTGTAGACCCATCGAGCTTCCCCTAATTCCCATAGGGACGCACCCAATGGAGGTGCATAACTGTCAAATCCCCTCACGGGTAACTAACGTTATTTTTGGACTATTATTTTTAACTATTATTTTAACTAACGTTATTTTTGGATTCTAAATTTTAATGTTTATATAAAATATAGACAATAAATTTAATTTTATCATACATACTTTAAATTCATTTATTTGACCGTCCAAGTGTATAGACGTATTCAGAGCTCCTCTATTTAATCAGTGGTAATTATTTAGTAATTAAGAAATAATTAAACATGAGTGATATCAATGGCCATAGCTGTAAGCTATACGATAAATTACAGTAGACTTAGGTAAGCCAAATATTTAAATATTTAAAATGTTTTCTATTCCTACCAAAACGGATGCACTACTAGTCCAACAAAATAATGCAACGGTCGCAGTGAATACACAACGTTCACAAAATGAGCAGTCGCTTTATAATGCATGGTGTCAGTCAGAAGAAAATGTTAAGAGACTTAATATGGATAATCAATGGTTGACCAAATAATCGCCGATATGAAAAAGAGATTAGCACAGCTGGAAAAAGCGAACAATATACAACGTTAACAGCAAGTTCTGATGAATCACAAAAGAAATTAAAAGCAGATAAAGTTCAATACTGCACCGACGAAGATTTAGCGTATAAAACAGCTGAATAGGGAACGAAAACATGAAAACTACCACAAAACGTAAAATGGATACCTCTTTATTTCCGTCCTCTCCGCAAAAATCAAGTGCAGAAACACAAATTGAAATCCAATCAAAAAACCAAAACCACCACATTCGGTTGTAGTAGAAGATTTTCAAAGTGTTGTTGACATGAGCAAGCTGCTGACAGAGGCTGGTATTACCTTTACTATGAAAATCATAAACAGTGAAGTTATAAAAATTATTATTATTAATTTTTATAAATTATAATTTATAAAAATTAATACAGCTAATAGCGATCATTACAGGGCTTTATTAGAGAAATTAAATACAAGTAACCTTTTGTACCACACTTGCGAAAATAAGCAAGAGAGGCCAATTAGAGTTGTTGTTAAGAAATTACATCACACATGGACACCAGAGGAAATATTACAAGACCTACAAAAACTACAATATAAAACCATTAAAGCTGACAAGAAATTCAAATGTAAAACTAAAAAACAACTAGATATGTTTATCCTAATATTTAGACAGGATGAAATAGAAATATAATTTACAGACATAATTAGTACGACAGTTGAAATCGAGCTATTAAGTAGTTTCAGATTGGTCTCACAATGTAAAAGATGCCAGGCTTACGGACACACGTGAAAATGCTGTTAAAAGAAGCCAAGATGTGTAAAATGTATTGGCAAACACCTTACAAAAGATTGCCAAAAACTGCGGAAGATAATACAAAATGTGTTCATTGTGGAGAAAATACATCCTACAAACTACAGTGAATGTTATGTAACTAAAAAATTACAAACAATGGAGTTATTGAAAGCAAAAAACTAAAAACGGCAGAGTAAAGTTCAAGCACTCCTGACCATGGAGCTGCGCGAAGGCGGAGTCAAGTTCACGTAAAGGCAGAAAGGTTGTATTGTAAGTCGAATTATACAGTGCATAGTACAATGAGTTTCGCACAGTGGGTGGGTGGTGGGTGGGAGTTTAGTGGGGACTAAACCAAATTTCGTCTACTGCGCCGTGGTCAAGAGTACTTTCACGCACTTTAAGTGAAAATTGAAGTAACAGTGATGTAACAAAGAATGTAAGGAGACAAGCATTATCGCAACAAGAAAAAGAAACTGATATTACATTAAAAATTATGGAAAAGCTCATAAAGATTAATGACAAATTAACTCAAATCGATATCAGAGTTACCCGACTAGAACATAGCGCTAAAGAAGCTATTCCGAAAATCAAAAATGGTTAGCCAAAAATCGAAGCAATTCTTCTCCGTCAATTGGTCTTCAGTTATTCGTAAGCGAATGTTTCGTTATTGATTTATTTACAATACCAGCAATTACTGTTTGTTCGGCATATTTATTAGTTTCAGTAACCAACAAATCTTGCACTTGACGGTCGATAAACAGTAGGTAGAAATCTACTGGTTTGTGGTCTGTATGTTTTGGAATTTCTTCCTGAAGTAAACGATAGTTCGAACTTATTGGAATCATCTGGATTTGGCACATCGTTTTATGTTATTTTCTTTCTTGATACAACATTGTAAATAACAGCTTCCAGGCTAACGTTGCAGATTCAGCTTTTTCTACAAAGCAAAAGAAAGTAAACTACAAACAGAAATTGTACATTTCTAAATAACTGACCTATCCTTCTTGTATCAGGCTTCTTTTGGTTAGAACTTGGACCAGCAGTAATTTCTTTACAATTTTGTGTTCACTGGATCGGCATAGATAATATAAAAGGTACTTTTAGGCATACGGATATCTCTAAAGTCACTGTCCTCAGCAATTCTGCGAAGTTCATCTTCCGATAGTCCTTTATGGAACATTATCTTCTTTTTTAGTTCCACTTTTTAACAAAAAACTGAAGAGAAAATTGTCTTAGTCTTGTTAGACGTTCGAACCGATACTGACTGAAGTATGTTAGAAATTAAACCCTATCCTGTTTGTGAACACGTTATTTAACAGACCAACCTCTGATTTTGTTTTCCACAGACCGTTTACAGAAATTTATACATAAGAAAGCACGAGAAATGCGATCCTCGACAAGCCACAACTTTAGGAACACGACACTTCGCTGTGGCCTGATAGGTACACACGGTCCCAGATGAAACTAGAGTGTGTGCTAGTGTGGTAAACATAGGGTTTAAGGTGTTAAATATATGTTGTAGCGTAGTACCTATTAAAAATTTTGTTAGTGTTACTTCCTGATATTGTTCTGGTTTAATATTATTATGATAGTTCTTTTTAACGTATTAAGGTAATGAAATGCTCCCATATGCTCGCCAATATTGATTATAAAATGCTTATGTCAATTATGTTATAATATGCACAATAACTACCTCTTAAAACCAACCAAATTTCATTTGCCTATTTTAACCGGTTTCAGGGAAATAAATAAATTGTCAGTTTGTAAGAAAAATTTTAACACCGCGTATCTCGAAAATCAAAGCATTTCTGACGTCCTCAATTAAAACGCGGTATCTGCAAAAAATTGAAAATCGAGTTTTTGGTATAGGTATGTGGATTCCTTGTGATCTTATTTATGCTTCTGTAATGTCTAAAAGCCGGATTATTTTGTTTACTAGCAAAATAAAGAAATTGGCATATGCCGTATGTGCCAAATTTCAATAGTTGCTTAATTAAAATTCGGTATCTACAGAGTACTCAACTAAAAAGCGGTATGTGCTAGCGAGTATAATGTACCTGCCGCGTTTTGATTGATCACAGCACATTTACTGCGTGTTCATCGAGACTCGTGTTGCAAAAATCTCATATTCGTTCAGTCGTATGTGCATTGCATTTAAGAACGGTTGATTTCTTAAATTTTGCTTTGAATTTGGCGCTTGTTTTATGGTATTTTGTGTTAGTTTTTATAGTCGTAGTTCTGTGCGTTATGAGATTTGATTACTCAAAAGATGGCTTACACTTTGTAAGACAAATTTTAATACCGCGTATCTCGGAAAGTAAAGCATTTTGCGGACATATGTTTATATAGCAATCTGTCAATATTTTTTCATTCACAATCAATCCCTGAAGTTCGTTACACTTATTGACCAACACCCTGTATAAATCGCTACTTTAAAATATTTTTCATTCAGAATTGAGTTTGGTTATGTTTTTAAATAATTATTTTATAATTGATTGCTATTTTTATATAGATATTTCTATTAACTTGTTTTTCTATAAATAAACCATTTCCATTGGGGTTTTCATAGTGTATCCAAAAGTAATATATAATTAAACATTTTAGGCAAACCTGATAGCACAAGCAAAAACCCAAAAGCCTACATTGCTGTATCCATTATTGCACCAAAGTCTGCTTCAAAAGACACCAACTCCAAACAAAGCGACGAAGAAGTAACATTAGAAAATGAGCTACACCAACTGAAGCCGTGGAGTCACGTCCAGAACCTCAAAAATATGGAATCTATAAGATCTAAATGGCATGTGAAGAAAAATCAGAAAAAGGGAAACTCATAGAAACCGGAAGAGTAATTTGTGAATATTATAAATAGAAAAAAAAAACAGTTTCAGTAAGAATATTTGTTTTAGTTTTGTACACAATATTTTTAAATATGAAAAAGTTTAATATTTGCTGTTATGTGTGTAATAAATTTATTTAAATAGTTGCTGCAATAATTAAAAAAAATTCAAATTCAATAAGCTGTATTAGTGGTCAGCAAAAACTAGGAAATACAATTACCATTATGATTTTAATCACTATTGAAAAAATCGAACAAAAATAGTTCAAAATAATCTGAAATATTTTTGAGAATTAATTTTTTAATTTTAAGTCTTAAGTATTCTAAGTATTAAGTTAATAATTGATATAAATGGGTTTAAAATTTTTGGTATAGATCAAAAGCCGCTTATAATTTCTCATTTTAGATTTGGTGAACAATACGGTTTTTAATAAGGTAATACTTTGAAATCAACTAACTTGTTAAAGTTAGAAAAATTTAACCCGTTGCGCTCTGTCATTATTAGTGACATATTTCCAAAATTTTTAGATAACCAAAATATGTATTTGTTCAATATTTTTTTGTCGAATACTGGAAAAATTTAATATTTGCCGTTTAATCTGTATATTGCAATCCGTACTGATCTTGAAGCAGAAATAATCAAAAATGAGGTTTTAATAGTATATTTGTAAAACACTATTAAATGCTGTTTTTAGTCTAAAAAAAACATTATCACCGAAATATAAATTATATACAATTTTTTGGCGTAATAATCAATCAACGTCTATCTATCTATCTATCTATCTATCTATCTATACAGCCCTTGCTGTCCAATTTTGGACATAGACCTCCCCTTCTTTCTTCCACGTCCCTCTATTGTAAGCAGTTTGTATTCACTTCGGGCCTGCGTGTTTCTTCTGTCATCTCATTTGTAGCCTTCCTGTTTTTCGCTTATAACTATTATATTTTCCAGTGTACAATCACCATCTTATTCCATCTGTCGTCTTTCTGCCTTATTCTGTCTTTCACTTAAGTTTTGCTACCTGCGTTAATACATCGGTCAATTTTGTTTTGCTGCGGATCCAAGTATTTCTTTTCTTGACTGATAGCCTGATGTTCAGCACTTGCCTTTCCATGGCTCTTTGGGTCTATGATATTTTTCCATGTTTTTCTTTGTTAACGTCCCAGTTTGAGAACCATAGGTCAGAACAGGAAGTATACATTGGTTAAAGACTCTTGTTTTTAAATATTGGGGTATTTTCTATTTTTTACTATATAGGAAAGTTTTCCAAAGGATACCCAAGCCAACCGTATCCTTGTCTTCATTTCTCCGGTCTTATTTTCTTTATTTAATTTAACTAGTTGTTCCAAATATACATATTCTTTTACTTGTCCTATAGTTGCTTGTGCAACGGTAATTATTAATTCTTCTGGTTGGTTGGTCATAAATTTCGTTTTATTATAATTCGTTTGTAGACCTGTTTTTGTTGATTCGCTATTTAATTCATCCATCATATTTTATAATTCTTCCCTTTTATCTGTTATTAATACAATGTCGTCTGCATATCTCAAGTGATTCAAGTATTGGCCATTTATGTTAATCCCTCGTTTTTCTCATTGTAATTTTCTCGTAATGTTTTCCAAAGCTTGATTGAATAGTTTAGGTGATATAGTGTCACCCTGTTTGACTCCTCGCCGTATCTTAATAGGCTCCGTTTGTTCAACTATTTTAATGGATGTAATTGCTTGATCATATATATTGGAAATTAAGTCCGTATCTATGGTCTATTCTACCTGGATAGGTACGTCCAATTGTACGTACCTATCATAATTATATTATTTCTTTCTAATCTTCTAGACCTCCTATTACTAATAATAAAAGACAGAGAAGAATCTGTAAAATTCATCGTTTACCTTCGCCAGGAGAGGGTACTTAAAAAAAATATTATTTAGTTTCTGGTGTTGTATTAGGCCTCTACGACAGTTTTCTTCTAACAACTTAGCTGCCTTAGTGGCACTTTTGCAACACGATACTCTCACTCCACACGATATGGCTCAAATGTTTAACATTTCTCAAAATTTGATTAGGTAATCTTAAAATCCTTTCCAGAAAACTGATAAAGATAATATACGACACAAAGTTGGTTAAAAATGAGATATGTATAGAAAATAGATTCACTATATTGTTAAGACAGCTTAAATAAATCTATCATTTAAGTATCTGGGCATTATTGTAACAGTCAATTGCCTGTTTTTGATGCAAGTATTTATTATAAAAGTTGTTATTTTTATTAATTTGTGTGGTAACTCTTACAAGATCCTGGCATTAATAGCATCGTCACGAGTTAATTTTTTTTAATGAAATCTAGTTTTGTTAAATTCTCTACATGTTAAAATTAAATTAGTTTCGGATGAGGTAGAATTAATTCTGTATTCTGAATTCTGTAGTTCTAGGTGCAGTATAAGATTAAAACCTTGGCCCCACGTTGGGCGCCAATGTGTAAGGTGATAACAACGTGAGTCTTACAGTTTTGAAATCCATTATTGACCTGTCCATAAAGAGGTCAACCTTAGCTAAAGTATATTATCTTTACTAGTATAAATACAATCATGGAGTTCCCTACCCTGGCTAGCTCTTCTTAGCGGTAGTTTAGTCTAAAACACACAATGGTAGCAAGAACGATCACAAGAGAAATCAAAGCTTAACACAAAAATGTAAAGAAACATATTTTCTTAAATAAATTGGGCAAACTCGTCTCTACGTTACAAAAAGTACAAGATGGCTAAAGGCCTAAATTTAGACTAAAGGTGCAAAAAGGAAATTGAAGCGCTAAAGGCTCAAAGATAGAAAGGTGGCTGAAGAACATAATATTAAAGAAAAATTATTTTATTAAACACTTAACATGCCAAATGGTGATTTCGCTATACGGCTATAGGACGAAAACTAGACGATATTGTCGATGTCACAGGTCTCCTAATTGTTCATGAGATGGTGGAGCTTGATGACTGTATAAAACAATTTTTTATAGTCCATTAAATGTGAAATAGAGCCTGATGATGGATTAATTACCAGTCAATGGATTTCTCGTGCAGAACTAGATCTACGATTCGATAAAACACATAGATCAAAAGACCTTGTTGCCAGGGTGATGATTCGCGACGGAAAAGACCTGTACTTTTCACAAATGAATATTGAAAAATTAGTTATTCCAAGTAGTAGGGATATTGATAAAAAAAATTAATAAAGATCGGATATATACATATTGAAATATCGAGATACGAGGGGTATAGAAAAGCTAAAAGGTAACAGATATAAAAATATTTTGGTTTTTAGAATAAAAAAAACGATAAAAAAATAAAAGATCATTATAATAATATAAATCATTTTAAACAGGAAAAGAGGCTAATTGATAGAAAATTAAAAAAATGTAAAATAAGGAAGGTATTACGTTATTAGTTAATCTAATCTGTCTCTTGTGGTAAAGCTTGTCATGTAGTTTTTTGGATGATTTTTTATATATTTCGGACTGCTTCATTTATAATTAATTTAGCAGTTATAGATACATTTAAGTTTATATTTCGAATTAATAAGTTTATGGATTTTATTCTAGTTAGTGTGTTTACTAGTTAAGGAAGGCAGTCTATAATTAGGCAGTCTATATACTTCGGAAGGTAATGCTAAATAGTCGGTTAATGATATGAGGAGAGGTCGAAATAATATTCTGCGCCTAAAGTACCTTTTTTTATAAGACGTATTGTCGGACTTCAGTACAAGCCTAAGAAAGTTTCCATTAAATTCTGACAAATCATTTTTAGGCATCTAAAGTCACAGAGCAAGACACCCTGACATCTGGCCGAGTGTAACTGGCCACTATGCCAGAAGACCTAGAGTAGTGCCGGATTAACGCTCCAGAGTGTCTAAAAGAGGAGGAGGTTTACAATCTCTAAAATTATTATTCTGAATTTTCCTGTTATTTGTATTACACAATTAAGGTTCAACACAACTTAATAATTTTTCTATAAAACGTCTATCATTAAAAAATATATATTATATAGCCTCTTGAACGAAATGAACAAGTTCCTTATTTGGTTTGTACCATATCTGTCGTTTACATTTAATGAGACAATATCAAGTAAAATATTTTAGTTAAATAATCTTTAACTATACTACGTTCACCAAAAATTTTTATCCCTCCTTATAAACAGGACGCAGATTGTATTCATTTTAAACGTGACCGTACTAGGAATTAATAAAATAATTATCTGTGTTCTCTAGTTTTATCCTATACACAATATTATTCGAAAAATGTCTATTTGTACAACACTTTTTTAAATTCCCGTTTGAAAATTCCATACATACCGGAAAATCTCGGTGGTAAACTTTTGTTTTGGAGCGTTAACGCAATGGCAACAGCAATAACGTTCATTTTAGCTCTATAAAAGGAAAATAAAAGCTTCACATTACTCGTTTGCCAAATATAAATAGAGAAAAAAGTATTGCTGGTCGATCTAACTGGTAACGTTGTCGATGTGCTACTTTAAAAAAACATATTGTTTGCTGAATTTGAAAAAAAAATAAGGGTATTGATCTATAACAAATTTGACATTTCGATTTTAAACTTTTAACCTGCGCATCATAGATCCCATAAAATTTATTACATAATATGTTTATACAAACTTTTAATCTTAAAATTAATGGTAAATTGTTCATAAAAATTTTGAACACACTATATAAAAAGAAAACAAATATAAAAGACATAACAATAAAAAAGAAATAAAACACATTGATTTTCTACAGCATATAAAAGCACATATAGGTATGGAGTAAGAAAAGAAGGTTTTATGAACCATTTAAATATACATATTTTGTGGCACCAAAGGAAGTTATAAGGTAAAAATGGCTGAAAATAACCATGCAAAGATATCTAAATATATGAATGGAACATGTTATGAAAGTAAATGAAAAATATCGGAAAATTTTATATTACGCAATCTGAATTATATAATTGAATATATACT